CAGATGGGTAGAAAAAGTGATATCGAAGTAAGTTGTAGGAGAGAATAAACAACCTAAAGAAAACGGTTAATGCAAATATTCAAGCTTTATAAGACGCAAAGAAGTGAATATATCTTCGCCATTGTGACTGATTTTCAGCCATACCACCAAGTATCCTCAGCCACGGACTCCTTTCGTCTCCAGGACTCTAGCCAGGTAGTTAAAATCTGCCCACACGACTCAGATCAACGGTAAGAAACTTTATGGACTGGTGCCAGGTCTTGGTTCGACCACCCTGGACCATCCTCCAACCTGATCCAGCTTACCCTAACATGGCACGCAAGATGGGTGGCGACTCTGCACGCGCAATACACGTCCAAGACATATCAGACGATGAAGGTCCACAACTTCATCAGTCGACCTGCCTGTCTTGCCTGTTATCCTTCGCCTGACCTCAAAATTATTCACACATTAAGTAAATGGAACAACCTAACCTTTCTTCGACGAAAACAATTGGAATCCTGTTGGTTATTTGCTGGCTCTTGGCAGCTGAAACCCTCAAGAAAATAATACAGATTTAGTCAATATTTGAAGTTAGGGCAAAAAACTGTCTTAATCAGTAAAAGGTTGCTCATGAATTCATCGTCGATATATGGCAGAAGTTATCACTTGTAGTTAGAAAATAAAAATAATAAGATAGTGGTGTAAATGTTGAATTTAAAGGGCTGAACTCTATTACAGAAAGTGTATTTTACTTGTGTAATCCTGGCGTAGCATACTAGAACAAATAAAGTAGATATTTCGTTTAAAAAAACACATTCAATTAGTCGCTTTATCTAGGTGCACAAGTTATTCCAAATAATGCAATTCCTTATTGGTCTGAATAAGTTCGGGTTACAATATATTTTTCAGGATTTACTAGTACTGAGTTAAGTCGAAATAACAGTGCCAGCATTGTAAACTAAACCTTTTATTCGTCTTTTTACCGTTTAATGACTTGATAACGAATGGTAATCTGTGTGAAATAAAATTCAAGTGAGTTAAGATTGTAGTTCAACGTTAAGATGGGCAGTTGTTTAGCCGTATAAGTCTGAATTTGTCATTCCCTATCCCGTTAAGCGGGTAGGGAACTTCATGCACTTGATCGGTAGCTGGTACCTTAATGTAGTGGTCGGTTCTGCATATCACAATGACCCAGCCAGCTACACTAGCTGGAATGCTTGCTCACTGATGTCGTACCATTTCATGAAGGTCTGCTGGATGATCATAAGATGAAAAGCAGTTATCGTTGTGGTGTAAATTGCTACTGTATGATGGGATCCAAGGACAGGTTCGTACTACTGGCTGGATGCAGTGTAACAGCAGTGTGGTGTTTTCCGCATATGACCAGCAGGACTATAGTGATACTACCTTCCCTGTCGAAAGAAGGATTAGTGAAGGTTGACTTAAAAAATAGCAGACTGCTCCCTGTTCTGCCGTCTTCTTCGGCCATACCTCAGTAGCCTAGTTGGGATCTAGTTGTTAGTTTTAAACGCTTTTTTGGAAGACTACTTCAAATCTGAAACAAAACAAAGTGGAGTTTAACAACCTGCTAGGAAGTCTTTAAGAACGGAAGTAGTAAGTCATGGAATTCAGTAGCTAGGATATTTTATAACTACCAGGTGTGACCTGGTTAAGTTAGTCTACACCACATTCCTTCATTTCATGAGTTTTCGTGTGACTACTACAGGGGATTAGTTTGATGAATATTATGTTCGGTATCCTAGGACCCATGGTCATACGACGCCTAAGTGGAGCTCAAAAACAACAAACTCTGAGTAAACCCAGGCAGGTTTCAGACCTGGACGAGAGTGCACCGATCATATTTTTCCCTCCGACAAGTTCTAGAACACAGGCATATTTACTAGGAAGTGGCAGACACTTGCCATATTTCTTGATCTGAAGGTGGCTTCGACTGTCGCAGGCGTTGTGGCAGTGTCTGACTGTGAAGGGCGTTACGAGCAATTATACAAAGCTAATCAACACTGCCTACTTAAACTCATGCAGCCGCGTACTGGCTTTTGGAAAGTTGTCATCAGAACTGACGACAGTTAAGAGGTGTTCGCCAAAGATGCTCATTGTCAACTCAACTTTGTTACAGACGTACTAATGGATATAACCCCAGGTACATTTGAATTCACAGGAATTGACCTACTCCTTGGAGGTCATGTGGTTGACTTCAAATATTCAGACGATATTTTCATGGTGGGTAAGGATGCCTAAATGCAGGACCTTCCGAACGCGTTGAGCAGAAATTTTTATTTTTCATGTTTTTCACACCTGTCGAATGTAAGATGATGCTCCATGACTGATTTGCTGCAAGTGCCCCCACTTTAATGAATGGGTAGTGAAGTGGGATATTTCGATCACTTCATTTACTTAAAGGGTGTTGCATCTCCCCGAATTGGGTGTTTACTGACGAAATCTCAGCTCGGATACAGAATGGCTCTTTGTCATTTCCCAACTTGCATTTTCTCTGGTCCCGAGTTACAAGATATCAAACTTTCTGTCAAAGGACTAGTATACTGCTCTGCAGTCCGTTCTGTCCTGAAATCCGACTGTGCAGTTTGATTTCGAGGATGAAATATACCGGCAAAATGATGGGGTTGCAATGGGATCCCCACTAGGACCTCTAATGGCAGATTGTTTTATGTCAAAACTGGAAAACTCTTTTCTTAACCGAACTATTGAGCATTTTGACATCTATAAATGATGTATGGATGATATATTCGTTATTCGCTACTCAGCTATCGATCTGGATGACATCCTACACGAGTTTAAAAACTGTCACTTAGCGTTGGAATTCACTATTGAGTAGGAATTGGAATCATTTATTCCTTTCCTTGACGTACTGATTACAAGACGCACCAATGGAACGCTGTAAAGATCCATCTACAGAAAACTCACGTGGAATGGACAACTCACTAATTTCTATAGCTGGGTGCCGATCATAAGGAAGAGAAACCTCATTCGCTCACTGCGCCATCAAATACGTAATATTTGTAGTCTGGAATGTGTCCAACTTGAACTTGACTTTCTAAGAGGGACGCTTGCGGAAAACGGCTATCCTAGCCGATTTATCGATAACAGTATGCAAGAAATACATGCGAAACCAGTCACCAGCTCAGTTTCAAAAAAGACTTTGTTCATGAACCTGGACTTCAAAGGTGGTGCTGCACCAGATATCCTGAAAAATCGTCTTTCCAGATCAATTAATAGGCCTTTTTTCTCAGCAAGACTTCGCTTGATCTTAACCAGTCGTAAATTGTTCTCCGTTTGTATAAAAGACAATATCCTTCGACAAGCCAAATCCGTGTGTATCTACCAGTTCACCTGCTCCTGTGGAGCAAGGTACATCGGCCGTAGTCAGAGATTGCTGTCAACACGAGAACATATTCCGGCCTGGTTTTATAAGCGTCGCAGGAAATGCATCAGAAATTCTATCCTTTAGCATTTAATCGATTCCAACCATTCAATCGACCCAAACAAGGATTTCAAGGTTGTCTATCGAATTCGCCCAAACACCTCACATTTCCTCCACAGCTTCTAAAAGCAGCGGAGGCCTTGGCTATCCATGAACTGGAGCCTGACCTTTATGTGCGAAAGAAGTATGTACAGTCTTTGTCTTTACCTTGGCCTTTATTTTAGTCTTGGTGCGCTTCGTCCTCTTTTTTCGTTTTTCACTCCCTTCCCCTTATTTGTCAGATTAATCTTCGTAATGTTATATCGTCATTATCACTTGAAAATCTTATGTAACCCCTTTTTGTTATCATTTGACCTTTACGTCACCAAATAGCAACATTATAATTATCACCACCATTATTATTGTTTCAACTCCCCATTATTCAAGTTAAATCTTCCTCGCGGATTACAGTCTATATATATATATATATTATATATATATATATATATATATATATATATATATATATATATATGCGTAATGCTTAAACGAATAATTCCAATGATTGGTGTGATCGCGGACAGTGATTTCGCTCGAAATATTATCGAAATTAAATAACACCATTTTGTGTAAATATTCGTGACAAATATATTTATACTGGATGATGGTTGAAGGTGAGATGAAAATCTGGACCGCTGTTGGATTCGAACCAGCCACCACTGGGTTACCGGCCCGATGCTCTACCAACTGAGATAGTAGGTCCGACTGCTGATCACATTTTGATTTCACTTCAGTCACCAAGGGTTTTGCCCGGCTACCATGTGAACTGGTGACACGTTACTACTGCTTGATCGTATTCACACTGGCTGCCTAGTCAGGACATCTCATCCAAATCTAACTGAATCAGAGCGAAGGAGCATCATTGATTATCGTTTGACTGTCTGAGATAGCCGAATCCGGCAGCGTCCAGATTTCCATCTCACCTTCAATCATCACCCAGCATAAATACTAGTCTGCCAAACTACGGCTATCTCAGGTAGTCAAATGAAAATGTATTTATAATAAGTGCATGATTGATTTTCTTAATCCCTGTGTGGCATAAGGAATTAAACCATTCTATGTACAGGTTCCGTGTAATACTACTTTCATATATTCTGCTGCTCGAAAGAAGTGATTTCTTTCGAACTTGTTGAGTGTCCGAAGCATTTTTATTATGGATTTTGAAGGAAAACAAACACTAAGTTTATATTAATTGATACTGGGTGATGATTAAAGGTGAAATGAAACTTTGAACCGCTGCCAGGTTCGAACCAGCAGTCAGTCTGAGTAAGACCAAGCGGTAGGAATGCACCAGGAATTCACATGGTAGTCGGGCAAAACCCTTGGTGATTGAAGTGAAATGAAAATCTGGTCAGCAGATAGGTTTCTTAACTCGGTTGATAGAGCACCGGGCCGGAAACTTGGTATCAATACTAGTCTACCAAATCACAGCTATCTCAGATTGTCAAAATGATAATATGTATGAATTGTAATTATTTTTTCGCCACTGTTTGTATTTTCTAGACATCATAGACTAAATATGGTTCGTTATTGGAAGCATCGTGGACAGAAAATATTTTATTACGTTCAACCACATATTCAGAAATATTTTCCTTATCAAAAACCGGAACTCGGAGGAACATCTCCCCAGACAGCTATACTGACTGGGAAAAAGCCTAAAGTTCCTTACGACTACGCAATAGGTCAAATAGTTCCATTTACTCAGAGTTTAACATCATCATTTCCAGACATTGTCAAAGTTCGTTTACATAAGCTCTGCTTGAACCGTTTCCTGTTGAAGGTAATGTGCCTTTTTCTGTTGGTTAGTCCTACATAATATAGTATTTCTATCAAACAGCAACATATTGGGTGCATACACAAGGTCAACCAGTCAATGTTGGAGACATTGTACTCATTGAGAAAGCTTATCCACCACTGGCATTCAATACTGTGTACAAATTGAAGAAGGTGGAGTTTCCCGTTGGTAATCTTATTGATCCGGTGACTGGTCTTCGTTCTGAGGGTCCAGAATATTCCATTGATGCGTTAAAGTCTCTTTTAAAGCGAGAGAGTAGTATTTCAAATTAGTGGAATTTTCACCTCTCATTTCATGTAAATAGGTACCTTTTCTATAAATATACAATAGTTCATTTGAACTGTAATTTGTTTTAGTTCTGAAACTGACAGTCCATAACGTGATGCCTGTTGTCCAACTTTCCTTTTTAAACGATAATGATAGTAGACGTAGAGAGGTAAATAACAATGAATTCATTGTCAACCTTCACTGACAAAAGTCTTCACATATACCAACACACCATGTTAGATAAAATAGGCGTTAGGTTAGTAGATTGGTTACATAGAAATTAGTTTATTGTCTGATTGATAATATAATTGAACCAGTGCTATTGAGGTGTGTCTACGCGAAAGCGTAGGTGTAAGTGAATATAGAAGCCTTACAATGTTTTATAAAAAGAGTTATGAAAAATTGCTGCGTAAATGTCTACCGGTTTAACAAATTAGTGTAAAACGAAAGAAATCACAAAGTAATCGGATCAAGATGCTATACTAATCTCTAAAATCTAACCATTCTTCTGACCTATATAAGTTTCTTGATTTGAGTCTTTTAGAAAATCGATGATTAGAAGCAGCTCAATATTACTGAAAACTAATCGCATAAGAGTAGGTACATTGATGTCTTATGTTCGAAAATTCGGTATTCTTCTTATTCCATACCTTCCATCTGTCTTCTCTCCTTTCCTGCTCTTTTTTTTACCACTATTGATTTAATAATGTTCATGCCTCTGTCTTGCTTTTCTCTGTGTTGATGTGGATTTCGACTGATTTATGTGTTGCCGCTGCTTGTCGTTGACAGATTATGACAGCAAATCGGTCATCAAACTCATGATGATCCATCGAAAAGTTTACAGTGTAGTTATGTATTAACTGTTTTTTTATTCGATTACATGTTTCTGTCAAATTTCTATGTATGTTTATTGCAGGAGCAGACTGGTTGTAAGCTTCTGAGTTATTTCAAGTTGTTATTCATCGAAGGCTGACATCAATTGGAGGAATAAAGGAAACCTGGGAGCACTGGACAGCCGTTTCGTCCTAGTATGGGACTCCTCAGCAGTGCGCACCCACGACCCCACCAGCAGGGATCGAACCCGCGACCTTCAGGCTCCGCGACCAGCGCGTTACCATTGAGCCACTGGGTCAGAATCCAATGAGTTATGTCAAAATTAACTGTCCAATGTTTGCTTCAATGAATGGTGTTTCTTATCATTCTTAAAACTAGGTGCAAACATCTTTCTGTTGATTACGGGGATCTCAGTCACGGATTCGTAACTCAAAAATGATGAGAACAGACCTGTGTTGTGTTTTTTCTCTTCTATTTCTAAATAAATTCTTGTAAAGGCTTTTATATAATCTTATATACTGTCACTGCCTTTAAAACAGTTTAAACTGCTCCTTTTGTCGAACTCTTAAATGCATTCTTATCGAATGTGAATTTTAGGATTATTCTCAGTGCTGTTCACGATATAGCTCTTTTGAAGATTCTAAATTGCTTAGTGACGACAACAGTAAAGCGAGTTATTTTATAATTTTACAGTTGGTGATAGTTTGCTTGAAAAACTGGTTGCAGTTTCTTGAACTCATCTTAGCAGTTCCTAATTACTTTGTGAGGACTTAGTCAGAAACTGAATCTATTGCTTACGGATCAATAATCTGTGATCACATAATTTATTTTAACTGTTAGTCACACTGAAGCTTTGTTCTGCTCCTACCTCAAGCGATAGAAATATGTTCATCAACGGGAAGAAACATCAGAATTATCTGAAAAGAAGGGTCATCAAGATTTCTTGACAATATTAATGTGTCGTTTACATAAGATACGTGAGATAGAAAGTAACCTGAATCTAAATGTTAGTTGGCTGGGTTGGAAGTGTAGTAAACGTTTGTCTTTAAGGTATAGCATTAGATGCATCAATACTTTAGCAGAAGTATATATATATATATATATATATATATATATATATATATATATATATCGTGCGCAGTGTTAGGATCCGACTAATTTAGGCGACACGTTTCTTACCAAGCTTTAACTGTACCTAACAGAATTGTCTTCCACAGAATGACATCACAGATTAAGGTAAACAGTTGCTGAAAATAAGAATGCAGTATCTCTGAATATGCTCATCACCTTGATGAAGCACAGTTATGTCATATAATTTAACACTAAGAAATATGAGTCTCTATGTCTTATTACAACTCGAATACTTCATATGGATCTATCGGGATCTTCATAAGTTTTAATCACAAATATGCCGTTAAAAATCAACTAATGAGTTTTCCTTTTTCACTGCATACTCTAGCATAGAAAATAGTCATCCTTTGTAACTCAGATTAACTTGTGACTTTCTCCTACTGAAAAAACTTACTGTATAACTGCAGTTGATGTCTAGTCGAATTTCTCATCAAAAACGTTTGTATGCGAATGATAATTTACCTTGTCAGAGTCACCTTGAGGATTATCAGTCTGGTCACTAACGAAGGAGCTCACAAAAAAATACATTCACCAAAATTATTATATTGCAGATAAACCCAAAGTGAAAACAAGCTTACTGATGAAAGTAGTTATGAAGTATCAAGTTATAAAATAGAGGAGGATTGTTCTGTATAAACATAGGACCAAGGGTTACTGCATAACGGTCCAAATTATCACACTTCCTATCAACACACCGCGTGAGAAAACACTGAGATAGATAAAGAAGTTAAGAAGAGTCAGTTAAAAGTATTTTAAAAGTGAGGAGGAAAGACAAGAAAATACTGAATTGTGCAGGGCGATTTATGTAAAGATAAATTTCTGAAGCATCGTCACTGAGATCGATTCTTTGCTATGTTACCTAAAGTGTTCAACCTCTCGTTTCTGCTCTCATATGAACCCCAACTAGAAAGTGTCCCTTAGACTACTGACACCACTTGTCAAGTACTTCATGCCATGTCTTAGTCTGGTCAACGCTGACACGGCATTTTCCTCTGCTCCGCACAGTTTATATCATGGGCTTCGGTACATATTCATCCACTGCCGTACTACCCAATTTGCACACAAAAACTACATCAAGCCAGTTGCTCTTGGACGTGTTGACTGTATTATCTACGTTAAAGACGTGGATGAGGAATTTGCATGCAATTTATTTCAACGACGGGTACATTGCTATTGGGACAACAAAACATCCCAACAGTGCCACAAGTTCATGAAAAAATGACAATGCAAACGCACAGAATTCATCAACCTCTACGAAGGCAGTACGAAAAACGTTGCAAGACAACACGAGGAAAGGCAGAAATAAAGCTAACGTTGCACACACTAACGCATTAGGAGACCGCTTTAGGTCAGGCTTTCGTTATCCACTACCAGGCTACAAGGAACCAGATGCTGTCTGTGCGGACTGTAGTGAAACAGTCAAAACGCCTTTGACACAGTCCGTGAGACAACACGAAAAAGTGAATAAGAAAGCTGCTGAAAAGTCAGGCAAATCACCTATGACAAATTCAAGTAAAGGGAGAGCCAACTCTATCAACTTGTTTAGCGTGGATATGTCGCCAGACTCGTTAGATAAGAAGAAACAGTCAAACATGAGTCGATTACTTTCGCTCTAAGGTTCTCGTCTCTCTTCTGCAAAACCCTGCCTTTTTTCTCTCAGTAGAAGGAGACTCCGAGCTAAGTCTCACAAGACGTGGTCATTAAGAAACAAAGATCGTAATTAAAGCTGCAAACAGAAATACCACGATGGTTGTGCACATCTCTTTTAGGTCATATGGCTCAGAATCAATCTCAATGGTGCAGACGTCTCCACACATCTTTATACTAATCGTCGTACTGAATTCAATGTTTTCTTATTTCTCCTTCTTCTCTTTTTACTACGCTTGAATGATTCTTCTTAGTCTTCGCCTTAGTATTTTTTTGCTTGACGAGCTGATATAGATTTGACAACTTGGACCGCTGTGCAGTGATGTCTATTTATATACTGATGACAATTGTACTCCTAATTCCAGAATTGTCAAGTCATCACTCTCCTAAAAAGCGGTACCTTCATGAGATGACATCGAACAGCAACAGTGGTTAACAATGCAAAGCTGTCCTCGATTTTCTAAAATTAAAGATATTGAGCGAATAAATATTTTTTCAACTGGGTCCTCGTCATTGGGTTTATATTTAATAACATGATACCATTTAATTTTGGTAAGTTAATTGACTTAAACGATCATAAATTAGTAGTTACTTATGAGACTAACAATTAGAAAAATGAAGATGCGAATTGATTGAGACGCTAATTAAATGAGATTGATAGAAGCGTCAAATAAATTAAAACAGGTTGTTAATTCTGTGGTGGTACTAGTAAGTGAATCATGTAAGGTGATAAAACTACTATTGCTATAGTCCTCCACAAGCTGAAAGCGAAACTCCTATGACAACATGCGACCCAAGACAAGAGGCAAACACTTTAATACCTCCGAAACAGAAATACGCTATCAGGCCTGTCCTCCACCCGGAAAACTGACATGTAAATATAGCAGTGTTGGAGGACTATGAGAGAAAATAGGTTAGACGGGTGCACTGTGCGAACACTTTCACACCGACATCATATTGGTAAGAGTCTTTGCTCTTGCCGGACGTTTCTGATAGAAAGATACATGTTGCAGGTACGGAACTCTTCCACAGGAATAGAGCTTAGAGGTGGGGATGACTGTGTAAGCTCCCACCTAATGTCAAGGGTGGTGAGTGATCCAGCTCCTACTTAACTCCCGGACCCCTCATGCCTACTTCACTCTCCATCGCATTAAATATCTGCTAGGGGTTATATGTGGGTTCCCTCATAGTACTCCTGCTCTTGAAGAAATGGTCGTCAAAATAGTCCTGGCTACAACCTTTGCAGATTACGACTCCGTAATCATCACTGGTGACTTCAACATGCCGTCCATTGTCTTTGAGAAGGAGGAAATACATTAGTGTGTTACGCCCAGACTACGATCTGACGAATGATAGTCTTCTCACTGAGGATGTGTGTTCAGTCAACTTTTGG